TCAGGAGTTCAAGACCAGCCTGAGCAAGAGCGAGACCCCGTCTCTACTAAAAATAGAAAGAAATTATTTGGACAACTAAAAATCTATATAGAAAAAATTATCCAGGCATGGTGGCACATGTGTGTAGTCCCAGCTACTCAGGAGGCTGAGGCAGTAGGATTGCTCGAGCCTAGGAGTTTGAGGTTGCTGTGAGCTAGGCTGACGCCACGGCACTCTACTCCAGGCAACAGAGCGAGACTCTGTCTCAAAAAAAAAAAAAAAAACCATATAGGAATAGAGGCCAGAATATACCATTAACAAAATCTTTACCCACTCACACCTTTGACAAATTCGTACAGGAACCAAGGCACATAAGTAAACGAGTCTTATCCAACTACTTCCATACTTAACCAGTGAAACACTTTTATTCCTTCCACTGTCGTGAAAAATGTTTTGTTACATATTTCCTTTTAAGATTTCAACTCAAACTACTACAAAAACAATTGTAATAATTATCTCCTGAAGGAAACTGGACCACTACCCTACCTATTTCCAAAGGTTTTAAAATTATGATGAAATGAAAGAGCATATGGGGTGGAGGGTGGGATTTGGGTCCAGGTACTGAGGCAAGGGTGCTATTGCATATCCACCATTACAGTTATCATGCTATATTTTGTTTTTCCCATCAGCCTATGTTTTAGGCAATAACATTATAATCTGTTAGCAAATCATAAAATTTTTTTTACTTACAAAATCCCTTTTAAAAATCTATAAATAGAAGTTAGTTGATGAAACTCCTACTACTCAAAAATTTGAATCAGGTTACATCTAGTGATTTTTTAAAATCTATTACTATTACTTAAATTATTTGAACTACATGAGACTAGAGTTTATAATTACCAAACATACCAATAATTCCTGAGTTTTTCCACAAAAATGAATATCCATTGAATTTTCCTTTGTTATTTAACCTTGACTCTATAACTGAATAAAATTGGTACAAAGGCAATTAAATATTCAAGGAAGAAATGGGAACATTCTGTGTTGGTGTGTTTATAATAACAAAACTCACATGCGTTACATGCAAAGCCAGGCGCAGCACTGTGCTGATCAGCAAAGTGCTTGCATCTGCAGCGAATGGGCTGAGTGCCATTCAAAGGGACATACAGGTAAGCCCTGCACTGGCAGCCAGTCACCCGGCAAGGCAGATCAATGGGGCGCTGCTCAGGAATCGTTTCAAAGTCAGTTTTATGTTGTTTATACCTTTAAAAAAAGACAGACACATAAACACAATGTAGGTATTACCAAAAATTATAATTTCTATCTACTCAGCTCAAAGCAAATATGATTATTTTTTATTGTTTTGTTGTTCTTGTTAGTAAAGTGAAAATAAACCCCCCTACGTGCAGTATTTCTGTCAGCTATGTTGCTTTGGTTAGAGGAAATCTTTACTC